ATTTTAAGGAAAATTCTTAGAATATGGCACAGGGTTATTTCTGTTTTATAAGCCACTACACAGAAGTTGGACATTCTTCACTGCAGGGAGGGCTGTGAAACAGTCTTTGTTCTAGGTGGCTCTGTGCCCAGCCAATGCTTCCATAATTAGCTCTAACAGAGTGCTTACTACATGCTAGGCACTGTTCCAGTATAATAAGAAGCCTAGTGGTTTACTGGACTAACGATTGATATGATATAGGTAACATTATAGTAGTAAAAAACAGGAATGGCTATCATTTACTGAAAGTCTACCACCTATTAGGCTATCTGTTACGTATCACGTGTGTGACATCATCAGTCCTCAAATACTCCACCACAAGGTGGGTATTTTCCCTATTTTATAAGTAAGAAATTGAGAATAAGTAAAGCTAAGCACTTGCCTGAGAGCACAGAGGTGGTAGAGTATAAACCTGTAATCTGTGCAGGAATTTGGACAGAAACATGTTATCCTAAAAACTTTTCACACTTAAACACTCCCATGCCTGAAGAAAAGTGAGAGCCAATTAAATGTTGGAATTTAGGCTCGAAAGTTAGATTACCTGGATTTGGATCTCAGCTTTATTCACTATTAGTAGTTCTGTGTAATCTTGGACATTCTACTTAATCTTTTTAGGCTTCAAGTTTCCTCATCTGGAAAAGATGTTAGACTTAAAGGGTTATTGTAAGGGGAGTCAGGTAGAACACTTAGCATCTCAGCGTCATTCTATGGTAATTAGCATGTGGTCAGTCTTCATTTCATCCCTACTATTCATGGCAGAAGTGTTTTAAATAGCACAAGAAGAGATAAAAGCAGACAGATCATCTAGAAGTTGTTGCAATGCTCAGAAGGTGATGGGATTAGGGAAGAGGAGAGAGAGTGGTACAAGACGTAAACATTTCATTTGTTGTGAGAAATGCAGGAAGATATTACCTTCCAGTTCCCCATTCCTTACATTGACCAGAAAGGGAGCATATTCACTTTACCAATTTTTCAGATCCTGGAAAGAACAGTACTAAGTAGGAAAAAGCAAACAGACTCAATTTTTCCTATCACACGCTCACAATACAGATCACCTCTGAGACTGTGGGTAGGGTCTCCCTGCCGCACACACCAAGCAAACAAGCAATCAGTTCTGCATCAGACACCACCTAGCTGTCCTCTAGGTCAATTCAATTCTGACACTAGCTACCTAGAGACTGCATCAGATCCCACAGGGTGAGGGCTCAGGTCCCAAAACTGCTTCTCTCCCCTTTAGATCCCAATTGCAAGCTTCGGGGTTCAAGTTGCTTTATCTGGGCTTCTGCTCAATGACTACAAATCAGGGTTCCCACAACCCTCTCCGCAGATTTGATTACCTCACATGAGAGGCTCACAGAACTCAGGGAAATGCTTCCATTTGTTTACCAGCTTATTCTAAAGGATGCTTCAAAGGATGTAGATGAAGAGATGCACAGGGCCCCGTTGAGGGGAAAGACACAACTTCCTTGTCCTCTCTGTTACCACCCTTCTGGGAATCTCGCACATTCCACTATACAGAAGCTCTTCGAACTCTGAACCCTGCCTGTGGGGCTTTTTATGGAGATGCCCTTTCATGTTTAAGACTCACAGACTAACAGACTTGGTGGGAAAACTCAGGAAAGCCTGTTTTTACAGACCCACTGCGGGCTGTCTATGTGTAGCAGCATCCCTTCTACCCTGTATGGGACGGGACTGCTTCTGAAACGGCAGCAGCAGAGGGCTCTTGTCATCAACCAAGGCAGATCAGAGAAAGGGAGGGAAGATTAGGGTTTGTATGATCTGCCTTAGGGAAAAGAAATTGTACTTTTTGTGGCCAGTCTTTGTGAGGGAGTTATAAGCTGGGAATTATGGATAAAAACCAAATCACATACATGTATATCTCAAAAGCCTACCACAACAAAGGATTTTTATGAGTTGTACCACAGTTATATGGCCAGTTCTTAGTTTAAAAACTATTTGAAGAATGTAATTGCTAAGACGGCAGTGTGAGAGAAATATTAAGAGCAAAGAAGTTAGAAGCAAAATATAAAACCAGTGGCTAGCTAATGATTGAAGACTATGTGAAGGCATATTGTCTATACATTTCTACCAAATTGTGAATTTCCAAAAGGACTAAATTGTAATTTATCTAGCATAGAGTAGTAAGTGTATTTAATATGATAACTCTAGAAAACTCTGAAAAAGCAGAGAGCTGGAAGCCTAAATCAGTTATATCAGGAATTTTTAATCAAAATCTGTGGCCAAGAATCAAAATTTCAGAAGTACCATTTACTACCAAATAACTTCTATTAGGAAACCTCTTTAGTAAAAATCTGTGGAAAACCTTTGACCCCAAACTTCCAGAAGACTAACTTAAAGGTAAAGAAAGACTACAGATGTTGCCAGTTCTGTGGCTTTCAAAGTGTTCTGACGTAAAAATTATTTTTGCATCTTTTCCAGAACCTGCATATAGACATTTGTTTCATAATGATAAAACTGCAATTCTTAGAATTTAGTTTTCTAAGAGAACAAAAGCACCATCAAATAGAAAGTAAACTGGATTTGCACTAGAAAACTTAATGTTTAAGTCTTGGCAACTTGGGTGTCTCTCCTCCTCATTTAGGAATGCAGGTTTGTCACTCTGTCAGGGTAGGAACTGAGGGGAGTGTGAAAGTACTGAATTACCTGGTGGACTGTGCTCCAGTATCAGTGCTCCCTGGACAAGGCAAATGTCCCTTATAGAGGGGCTTCCACATGTTCTCTGAAGCCCTCATTATCAAGAAGACTTTACCTGCAGTTCCCTTAAAACTGAATATTTCTGTTACAGCTGTTTGCTTCAACTTTTTCTCTAACTTCTCGGCACTGCGTAGCCTCCTCCCAGTTTCCTTTTCCTGCAGTCTCCATCCCTTCTAAGCACCCCAGCTGGGCAAAACGTAAGACCTCCACATTGCTAGAGTCCAGGTTCATGGGACATGCTGTGCAGATGGATGCTATGCTGTTACCATACATCTTAAATTGCAGCCCTACAGTTGGCTGCCACAAGTTGCTTCAGCCATCTGCTCTCTGGTTAGATTCCTATGACTTAAATACCAGTCTGTTGTGTGCTTTGTGTACCACAGGGAGCACCTATGGGGCTTTCCGTGGGCCAAATGAAACTCCTTCCTCTTGGCCTGGCATTGGGAACTGGTACCTTCACTCCTTCCCCTTTGAGAAAAGGGTCTCATGGCACAGCCATCTCCAAAGAACCACTCTTTAAACTCCTCCTAACTTCCCACTCTTTCAGCCTACCTACTTTGAAAAGTGTTACATCTTTCTTTGGTGCCCCATTTGTACTCCTCTTAGCCAAAACTTCTATCATAACATCTGGTAAACCTGCATCCTTGTGAGCCACAGAACAAACCCAAGCCCCTCAGACATGTGGACCAAAGGCTGCCGCCCTCTTCTAGCCTTGTCTCTTGCCTTCCCTTGAGTCTTGCTTGATGCTCCTGTAACATCCAACTGCTTGTTGTTTTTCCACACTCCTTTCTTCATCCATGCAGTAAACAATGAGCAAGCATCCACTAGGGCTAACTTGCGAGATGACAGTTCCAACTGCTGCATGAGGGAGAGCTCCCACCCTTGAGGTGGAGCCATGCCATGTGGTGGTCTTTTACCTCTCTTGCCACCAGACCTTCTGCTTGAATTTCCTCCTTGATCCCACCTCAAGAATCATCCTCTAGAAACTGTCCCTCATCCATCTGCACTCTCCTAGGATACCCTTTCCCCTGAAGGGAGGTGTCCCCCTTGACCCCACTCCAGCATCTATCATTTTCATAGGCCACACTGTACTGAAATTATCTGTCTCCACTATTTCTTCCATCTACCCTATACACTCTTGGAGGGTGTACATAGCACCTTATTCCTGAGGTCTTCTCGTTCACTAGAAAGTCTGATACCCAGTAGATGCTGAATAACTATTCAACTGAGAAAAATGCCAAACATATATATAAAGATATTTGGATTTAACTACCTGGTAAATATAAGTTTTCTACTAAGCAAGGCCAACAGTGATCAGAGGTGAATCTACTCGAAGGTGATAATACAGGAGACAAAGATATGGGCTTTGTTGAATTTTCTCAGCTGTCCCACATGCTTGCTGTATGTGACTTAGCAAGTAACTTCTGAAGACCATCTCTCCCTGCTCCAGACATGGCTGCAATGCCTCATTGGGATTTCTCCTAAATTAAGGATTCCTTATAGAATTTTCTAGGTAAGAGATTTTTTTGTAGTATGAGAGCTTATAGCTATCTTAGCTACATTAATCTGTGGGTTCTCTGCATTCCCTAATTTCTCTTCCTGAAAATAAAGTTGCTCTGTTCTGTTGTTGTATGGTTTGAAGGGGCTCCCACTCCTATCTGTAGCACTTGTTGTGTGCTGCTGGGTGGAGAGCCCAGGGATTTGCGGGTGCTGGGCAACCACTCTGCCCCTGAGTTGCATCTCTATCCCCAGGAGTGGCTCTTTTGAGTGAGAAGGAGCAGGAAACAAGCTTGCACTTGTTCCAAAATCCTGTGCAAAGCACACTCAGAAAACTCTTAGAATGTTAGCCAGAGTTTGGCACTTCCAGAAATGCAGGACAGTCTAAAATTCCTAGGTGTCATTGCAGATCTGAAAGACTAACTCAGGATGAGAAAGGTGAGAACAATCTCATCTCTCTCAAATTCTCAGAAATCAGAATGAGTTAGATTCTTGGAAGTCAGAGACTCACCAATGGATAGAAAAAAATCACCTTGATATATTAAAAAACTCAAAATGTCTCCAACCTGATCCAAGTAGGTCAAGTCAAACTCTAGCTCTAAAAAATTCTATTATTTCTTGGTAAAATGACTTGGAGGTGGCATATCTACTTTCAAATCAGAGATTTCTGGAGGCTTTCTGAGGTAAAATGAGAACACACAAATATAAAGAATCGTAAGAAATTCATATTTTGAAGAAACCTGGCTTCTGTGATTAAAGCTAAGAGCACACATTAAATATTACAAAAATGTTTTAGAATATTTTTTGAAAATGCTATAGAATTTTTATTGTTGTACAACAAAATAGTCATAAAGTAATTCTTGTATTTGTTTTCAGCCTATTCTTCATTCAGAGCAGTCCTTCAGTTGTTTCCTGAAAAAGGAAAACAATATAGTGTGATTGAAAGTATGTTCTATTAATTTTAACTTTCTAAGTTACTGGAAGAACAAAAGTAATATTTAAAAGTTAATATTTTAAAGTGTACCAATTTTATGCTTCTTTTTATTTTGTGGAAATGTGGCGAGCGAATTATGATTATGTAAGTTTTTGTGTGTACTTTTCACACTCAAGTTTTGTCATTTTATTTAGCAGAGCTTCATAATTCTCTTAAATGTAAAGCACGGTTAAATTGGACTGAAAAGGTATAAAAGAGCCGAACATTTCAATGCATTGTAGTGTGGGGAAGAAGAAAGGAAGCCTGATAAAGCAAGAAGGATGCGCTGCGAGAGGTAGATGTGATGAATAGAAGGACCCACCCCTGACGGAGGGACTATGAGGATGAGAAGGCTCTTTCTGGGCCTGAATGGAACAGGGAGGCAGTCCTCAAAATTAGTTTCAAAGCCTTTGGTGTTGTTTATATTTTACATGTAGGGAGGAATCCTTGTAGGGAGTTGAGATCAACACTATGGCTACATGATCTTGAGCTTTAGGAAGCTACATCAAACTACCACATGGAGGAAAGACCCAAATGAGGCAGTTTGTAAGCAAGGAATTCAGAAGGCTATTATAATAGGTTGAATGAGAAATAAAAGCATTATAAATGTAGCAATGAGACTTTAATGAGGGACAGATATGAGGTGTTATGGCTGGCTGAAGATGGCACAGAGCATGAGGGAATGCCGAGCTTGAAGTGTAAAATGTCCCAACCTGAGCCATCTGAAGAGATGGCATTGTCATCAACCGAGATGTATGAAAGACAAGAGACTGATGAAAGAGCACTTCCAGAACTGCTCCGGAAAGTGACAAGAATGATGAGATAAGTGTGTTCTATGAGAGGGGATGCATTTTGAGGGCACTTAATAGCCATGTGACTTTTACTGTAATAAATTTTGAAAATTAAACATTAACCATATATTTTGATCACACCTCGTATACACCAACATGTACTGTGGATAGCATTTCCAGTAGGGTTGTCTCATCTCTGCTCTTGAGACTGCGGTGCCAGGCACAATTGTTGTGCACACACTCATTCCTTAGGAAACGTTAACTGGTACCTGAACATGTGGTAACACATATTACATACAAAACGAACGGTACTTACCCACATTTATATTCAGAATAAAAGCAGCGGCCATAAGTATTTCCGATAGCAACATTCTTCCCATCAAACAGCTAATCAGGATCGCCATTATCTGGGCAGATGTACCCACAGTCGATGCTTTGCTGTGGCTGCCACCACTGCCGCCACTGCTACTACTGCTAGTGCTGCTGCTGTCACCAGAGGCAGACTGCACCAGCAGGCTGAAAGTTCTAGATTCTGCCCGAACAACGTTATCCAGGAGAAATTCAAGCTTGTAATTTTTTCCTGGGGAGGGGGAAAGGGAAGCATCACAATGGTTGCCTTCCTTGCTTACTTCCCAATAGTTCCAAGTTGGCTTTCATTGACTTAAACATGTTTATCTACCAAAGAAGTATTTTTGGAAACTGAGTCAAATAAATTGGTTCAAGTACAAACAATGGTGGAGAGAAGATCTCCAAATGAGAACATTTCAATCTTCCCACTAACCATGTGCAGGGGAACTAGGGTAGATTTTCTCTCTGCAGCAACAGTACTACTTCTGAGTGTTCTTTCCTAGAGATGGGAAGCAGGATATTTAAAATACAGGACAACAGGAAGGCAGGTGAGAATAAAAGACTTGAGTTCCATCCCTGCCTAACTGATCTAGGTGTGAGGAGACCTCAGTCTCACTTAGGGGAAGTGAGGATGGATACTAAACTTTCCACTTTATAAAAATCTCAAACTATAGAAAAGTTGAAAGAATAGTGCAACAAACACCCCTATGACCTCCATTCAAGTTGAATAATTTTTAACCATCTTCCACATTTGTTTTAAGTCCCAGAGACTTAAATGATTGAGAATCTTTCTTCCTTCCTACCCCAGGTAGACAACTTGGAGAAACACTGTTAAACTATGTTTACAGGATGAATAATAATGACCTCATCCAAACAATTTTTAATCCACATTCTAAATCTCCTACAGTTTTGAATATGAGATAACTAACGTATTTCTCCATGACATAATTTCTTCTGGCACTACTGCTATCATGAACTGTAGTTATCACATAGAACAGGGTTTGGAATACTTGTACAACCTTGTAAGTTCTTACTCTTTTCTGTTCACTATTATTTGTTTTTTTAAAAAAATCATTCTATTTCCATTCTTTCATTTTTTCTCAGGGAGAGAATATAAATAGATCTTGACCACATTTGTGCTTTCGCCAACAATGGCAATGTATTCTAAAACTTCCAACTTCCAAGATCTATGCATTTTCAGCCACTGACATTAGTGGAAATGCTGTATTTAAATATTTCCTTATTTCACTCTGAAAAGAAAACATAAATTTGTGTGGCAGCTGCATTTTATTTTTTAAGCACTTTTGATCAGTAAAGAATTGAGGATTTTAATTGATCTTATCTTCCCCTCTTGCAATATTGTGAGGAAGCCCAAATTAGCTTCATGGAAAAACCACATGGAATACAAATGAAGAATGCAGCCAAACTCCAGAATCAGGACCTCAACACCATGAATCAAGTCAAGCTGTTTCAGTCAGGGACAGCCAGTAGGCATCTCAGCAGAGGCCCCAGATATCAAGGAACAGGTATGAGCCTTCTGAGCCCAAATTCCTGACCCATCCAATTGTGAACAAACGGAGTGGTAGTTGTTTTAAGCCGTCAGATTTTAAGCTGGTTTTATACATAGCACTAGGAACTAAAACAAACACTAAACATTATATAGGTTGCAAGATAAGCAGGTTTCAAAGGCCCCATTAGCAGAACATCTTGATCTAAGTTGGTCAAAAATGTAATCTCGTAACTTCCTTCTTCTCCTACTCGATCACCCAATTCTCACATCCTTATTTTCTGTGTTAGAAACCACAACCCATGTCTCCTGTACCCAAGCAGCCCTGCTTTGCTCTTTATGGAGCTATACGTAGAAGAGGATTCTGCTGCTGCTGTGCTATCAAGCTGTAGTCTCATCTGCAAGGGGATTTCTTACAGTGACTGATGGTATCTATGAGAGAGTTGAAAGCTTTGCACCCCAGTGATCTTGCTTATGGGAAGTGATATTTTGAGGACCTTGGTCACAAGGTCAGGTCTTTGCTGCAAAGTTCACCTTTATAAGGAGGTGAGCAACCTTCTCTTCAGGCAGTGTTCCTATCAGATGCCTCATTTTCTTTAAGACATTGTAGGCCTATTATTAGGTGGCTGTTAAAAGAACTAGCAGGTGTTAGAACATCTTTGGGGCTTGTCTAAGAGCACAAAGTGGAATTCTTGATTACAAAGCAGAATTCTTGATTGTTAGTAAGCAGGTTAAGATATGGTTGCCCACTGGGCAGACTGAATATATCTGGTGCAGGACCCTATCAATGCATGAAGAAACAAAAAATGAAGGGAGACAATCTATTGGAATTAATTTAACTTTTGATATATTTTTTAAAAAATCAGACTCTGTTGAACATTTTTTAATTATTTTACTCTTGATAGTGATTTTTAATCAACCTGTTGTGTGTGTGTTGTGCATACGTGTATGTGTATGTATGGGTATGTACACATAATGATATGTGTTTGACAGGAGAGAGCAGTGATAAGAAGTAGGAAGTGCCACCATAAAACCTTTCCAGAGGTTAAGGCTGCAAATGGTCTTAAATGGGCCCCAAGTTGAACAGACAGACTGATGGAGGCCTGTTTCAAATATACACAGCTTATTCATTATTCTTTTAGATACTCTATAACTCATCACCAGTAAAATCTGTTATTTAGATATATCATATGGGCCCTAGTAAAATGGTTTGTACCAAAGAAATAATGGCATCAACCCATATGGAGGTAATATAATTATAATTACTGTGGAGTTTATGGTTGTAGTTACTGTTCCAACATTAAATATACCACTTGGCACAGACTCATTGGATATACTTTACGAGAACTCACAGGAAATGTTTGTTCTCAGTGCATGTTACAATTTGCACAGCTACTGGTTTGTGGATCCGATAGGCACCATTAGTCATGACAATGCTTATGTTTTTTTTCCTTGCATTCACTTTCAGAGCTCTACAGCCAACTTCTACCTCAACTCCTGCTTAGGGCATTAAAGTTCTTGAGGGTTTTTTTTTTTTCCTGGTACCGGGGATCGAACTTGGGACCTTGTGCTTTTGAGGCAGGAAGCAGAACCATGGAGCTAAATCCCAGGCCCTTAGGGCATTAAAGTGAATGAGCCTACTATATTCTTTTCTTTCTTAAATTTGAAAAAATATATATTAATCTTTCCTACTAGAAATGTAACACATATTTAGTGAGAACATTTAGAAAAATACACAAATGGGTAAAAAAGAAAATATAAATCATAATTTTTATGCATAACCTCAGATCATCTATTTTTATTTTCTCATTCTCTTTATTTTCTTTATTATTTTAATTTCTCTTTCATTTTGTACATTAAAGATATTTTCATAAGCTAGATTAAATATTTTCTGAAATGAGGGACAGTACAATATCCTGATTTCTACAATTTTATTGACCACTGTACCATCAAATGTTTTGTTCATTAAGAGAAAATTGTAATTGTCTCTATTCACAGGTACATACGTGAGATTCTGAAGGAGTCCATTTAGACTGTTTGAAAGAGGAAGAGGCTCGGGGAAGAGGGAGAAGAGAGTAAGGCAGATGGATATGATCAAAGTCTGTTATATGCAGGTAATAAAATGCCACAACGAAACCCAAATAGACAGGTCACTCGCCTGTTCTCAGAGGAGTAAGGTCTGTGTAGTTGGCCCAACAGCTGCTAAATGGAATTGTTGTATTTCCACCAAGGCCACTGATTTGGTTATTACTGGAGTCCTTTAGTACGGCCTTCAAAGTCAGTGAAGTAATCCCAACAGATACACAATTACCCTTCAGCAAAAAGAAAAAGTAGCAGAGAATTATAACCATGGTCCTGTCCCTTACTCTTTTGAAAAGCTACGCCAACCTTTTATTTCTTTAAGTGCCTCATGACAAATCTCAAATCTACAGAGGCTCCTTATCTCTCACAAAGAGTTCACAAATATGGAGAGAAGAGCACCAACTTCATTTGAAATGAAGAGGGATGAAGAAATGAAGAAACATTTTGAAACAGTGGAAGAGAATACCCAAAAGTACTACTCCAATTTCTAATGGCTGGCACAGTCTTCTGGCTTGCCAGCACCTCGGGATGAGTCACGCTGGCTCCCTTTTCAGAATGTATAGTTCAATTCCTTGCCCAGGAAGAACGCTGAGCTGTGACTTACATCCGGGTCCACTGCCTTTACTGAAGGCTGCTGAGGAAAAGGCTGTCCTGGCTGTGCTGTCACTGGCTGGGTGATGACGCAGAGTGAGGTCACCAGGGCCACATGGTGAACGGGATATGCAGACCTTGCAACAGGCTGGGCAGTCACCTGGCATGGACAGGAGTAAGGGAGTGGCTTTCCCACAACAAACTGCACAGCGAAGTTCAGCCAGGCTAAGTGTAATGCATTTGTTGTTCATTTAAAAATATGTTCAACATTCAAATTAGTATCAGCACAATATTTCTTCTAAACCACATTTATGAAGCATTATTACAAACATTCAAAGCAAAGCATATGCAAAATCAAGTTTTTAAAGAGACATTTCTTTTTAAAATCTAGGTTTTTTTTTAAACTACATTGTTTTCATTTTAATGATTCCATAAGAGACTCAAAAATAAATGAGAAAGACCTGATCTCTAAATTATTGTGTTAAAGTAGAAAAAGAAAGTTAAAATAAGAAATAAAGAATATTTTAAATAGCTAAAATGCATGATTTTAGTTGCATGTTCTTACCTTAGTCCAGCCAGAATCATTTGGGCTGGGTATAGGATTGGTAATAGACATGGAAGAAATATTAAATCCAAGGATACTACTGATTTTTCCTAAAATTACAGCTTGTCCAAGAGAACCAGAAATTTCCTGAAGTTCAGAGAATTTCATCCGACCTATGGGGGAGCAGTATTATTCTATTTGGATTATAAGGATTTAAAATTGTGAGAACATGTAAGTATTTTATTTTAGTTTTATTTGCATTGTTCCATCACATTATAGAATTCTACAGCTTTTTAATGGCACCCAAGAAAAACATGACAGTCATATTAATGAAGCAAAGAAAATGATTCATAGAATGTTTTAAACTGGAATTAAAGAAAAAAACAAAGGTTGATAAAAGCAATACAAAAAATGAATGAAAGCATGCTGAGAAGATATATCTCAATATTTCCCACGTCATTCTTTCTTTAGAAGTACCACTGTACATTTCTATCCTCACATATCATTTGGAAATAGGATGATAATTCTGAAATGGAAGAATAATTATCACCTATTACATTATCCAGATATGTATGAATACGTTGCTAAAGCTATCATTAAATTGCTAACAAGCTGTTACTTGCTTGGGACATCCAACAAACTTTCAAGGTTAATTTTAACACTACGTGTACTCTCTGTTTTCTTTTTCTGGCATGGCAGGCCACGATGGGGTTTCCTCTTAAACCTGCCGCTCCCACAGTTCTCACTGATTTGTGAAGTGGCACCTCCACGCACCTTACTCCTTTTGCCAGAGCCGTGGACCTGTGCTTGATCGTCCCTACTTCACCACTCCTCCCCGCCACATCTAATCAATTACCAACGTCTAACTCTCTCCGGCCCTACTGTCAAAGTCCTAGTGAGCGCTGTCCTCAGGGGCGGGTGGTGTTACTAAGGCAGCTTACACTCGCTCCCTTTCTGCTCCATCACACAGACAGTAAGTAAAGGAGTCTTTCAAAAACCTGTAACCAGTGTAATGTTTGGGTGTCCTGCAGGCCTGGCTTTGCCCTTGTTCCTAGGTGCCCTGTATCTTCCATATGCAGAGTCATATGTTGAGGCCTTGGATTCTTTTGTTTCTTCCGTTAAGGCCAAACTGTGAAGCTTAGTTTGCTCAGGAAGTAGTAGATGCCCTAAGCGAGTAGGTCTCGCGTGATACTTTGAAACACAGTCAGGGAATTTTAGGCTCTGTCAGTTTAAAATGTGTCTTTTGCATGATTTAGCCTCTTTGGATAACTGTGCTGTCTTTCGGATTTCTCGCTCTCCTCTGACTTCTAGGTTAGTCTTCTCCAGAAAGGCCTGCCGGGTAAGAGGGTTCATGCAACCTCATCACAGTGCTACAAAGGGAGTGATGTCAGTGTACTGCCAGGCCTGCTGGGCTCCACCGACTTTTGGCACAGTGGCAGGTCTGGCCTGGTCTGCACTGCTCACGGGTTCCCTCCTCCCCACTCTGAAATGGGAAAGTACCTGCTGCTGACTGCCATCTGGAAATCAAAGATTTTACCCGAAGTCCTTTTACTCCGGAGGCCAAGACTCTGCCTGCCCAGAGGTCTCTTAGTCCTTACTAATCCCATTCTAGGACACCTGGAAAATTCCATGAGCTTGTCCTTCCTTGTCCCTATGATTGTGTTCTCAGGCCATCGTATTCCTATCTGGATAAGTCTAAAATCTAAAACTGCCTTAAGAATATGGGGTAGCAGGGGTTGTCTGTGAAAAAATTAAGGTTACACATGGGAAATAAACCATAATTCTTTGGGTATGCAGTGGCTAGTGTGTAAGTTGTGGATCTGACTACCTACAAGAGTTCTCCAGGGATTTCTAAGAGTTGATGAGTAATCTGTATGGGTATCACAGACCCATTATGACAACCAGGCCAAATTCACCGGCTAAGCATACGGAGTCAGAGTGCTGACCCTGTAAGTCCAAGGAAGTGCAGGGCTGAAGAAGGAAAGTCAAGTATGACTGTAGCCAGAGAGGGATCTGGTTGCAACAAAATTCTGTGCTTCCTGTCTCTTCCAAACAAGATAGATTCATGGACAGACTTCCTCTTACCATTGTCAGTCTTAACACTGTCAGACCCCTTTCATCCCTAATCTCTCAGCTATAAAGTTACTTCCCCAGGTAGATCTTCTACATTAGGTCAAATCCTTTTATTTAATTTATTAATCATTATAACAACAAAAAAGAGGCTTAAATTTCTTTACAGTTTCAGGTTATGGGCTAGTGAGATTCCCTGAGGCCTGGTTTAGGAAACCCTGAACTAAAACTAGAGATTTCATTCAGCCCAGCTATTCCCCTTCTAGGTACCTTCCCCAAAAAGCTAAAGACATCATATCACAGTGATAAATGTACACTCATTTTTATGGCAGCATAACTCATAATAGCTGAAGATTGGAAGTGGCTTATATATCCATCAACAGATAAATGGATAAAGAAAATTTGGTATTTGTACACAATAGAGTACTACTTTGCCATTAGGAAGGATACATTTGTAGGAAAATGAATATACCTTGAGACCATAATATTAAATGCAATGAAGCAGAACATGAGACACAGAAGCTTAAATATCTCGTAACTTCTCTTATATGAGAAATCTGAAGGACAAATCACCTTTAAAAAGCAAAATAAAAGATAGACCATAAGAAACAGGGAGATAGATGTCTTGTAAATGGGAAGGGGTTCCACAGACAGATGGAGGAGTGAGAGAGGGGAGGGGAATGGAAATAAAAAGAAATTTTAAATATGTGCCTCTACCTCCAAAGATGAATGTGAACATTATGTACTGTAAAAATGTACTAAAAGTAATTGAAGTTATTTATGGCTGTGGACTTCGTAATTACATTCCTGTATCTTAAAGACTACTATTCATACCTGGGGTGTCATTGCTTAAGAACTGAATGGGAGGATCTCCAATCTCTAATTCAATTGTTTGTCCTGTAGATCTTTTCCTCCTCATACTCTTTCCTCGTATTATTTTGCTGACTCGGATTTTGTCACTTGGTATGTTTAGGAACAAGGCGAGATTTCTAACCAGATTTTGTGAGCTGTAAAAGTCATCTTCTGTTACAGCAGGTAATCGGAAAGAAACAAATATGACTGCAGCAGTGTGGATTTCAACAGGTGCAGTTCCTTTAACCAAAAGGTAAAGCATCTGGTAGGTTCTATCAAAATAGTTTTCACCAAGAATAGTGGAGTTCAATTTAGGAAGAAATTGCTCTGTGAAGAAAAAAATGCCAAAACAGCATAGTTAAATATATTTATCACAATTATCATACAAGATTTAATATTTGTTTCAATTTAGAAAATTCAAGGTAAGTTCAATGTTATTATTTCACAAGAAAGTATACATACTACAAAACCTCTTCTAGAAGTGACATGCAAAATTGAACTCAATCCTTTACTATTCATAATCATTATATATTAAATTTATTTTTTTACATCAGCTATAGACTCAGTATAAGTGAAAACAAATCTTATTATAAACCCAGGAATTTATATTTATAACACTATTTCCATCTTCAGAATTTTAAAGCCTCTGCTGATGCATTTGTAATTTTAAAAATATAAATTTAGCTTTAATAGCAATCTAATTTATGCAGTTATAATTCAGTGTTTATATTTTTACCAAGGACAAAGTTATGTAATAATAATGAAGTATATAATAAAACATCTCAGAGGAATCTTAAACCTGAAAAAAATCTATGGCTAATCTATGGTTAATTCAATTCCCATAGAGGAAATAGAGTTTTGTCAAGTTAATTGAGATCATTTGAATGTATATGTGTATATAGATGTTATGATCTATGGCTGCATGCTAGCAGTGTTTAAGAGATGATAAATTCGTCAGCACATTGAGCCCAAGGGTGAATTTATAGCAGTAGTGAAATAACACATGTAGCTCCTTATCACATTTCACAGTGAAGTTTGCTAAGAAAAGGGAATTAGAATTTTTAGGAAGAAAAGGGAATTTCTTATGAATGTAACAGATAACAGCATTAAGAAGCCATTTCATACCAGAGAAACTATTTGGTATTTACACGTGTTTGTCCTATTTATTCCACTTAAGAGTATCGCCTCAATGTGCATCTAAAATTGTAAATAAGAATCAAAATGTATAATTGATACTGTGAAATAGGAAGAAAAGGTCTAAAGGAGCAGGGGAAGTGGGAGGCGTAGGGGAAAGGAAAGAAGGGAAAAGAAAAAATAGGAGAAAAGGAAAAACATGGAAACAAAGGTACAAAGGTAAATGGGGAAGGGAGGAGGGGGTGAAGGGAGGGCAGGGGAATGGGGAAAAAAATAAGAACCAAGATACTCATGTAAAGGCACAAGATCCCAATGATGAATGTAACTGTATTGTATATCTAAAATGTACCAATAAACTTAATGGAAAAAAAAAGAAGCCATTTCATGATTACCGTAGATTTCCTTAATATGTACTAATATAAACTCGAGGTAATTTGTCTTAAACATTATGTGAATCTGACAAATGTGCTATGTATTACAAATTGAGAATGCTCCCCACCTACTACTAAAGTACATCACCGTTCATTCTCAGTAACTTTCTCATGTTATCATAGCAATGAAGGAAGCAGACATATATGTGGTAGAACACTTAGGTAAGCTCAGAAATATAGAGAGATTCATAATACAGGGATAATATTTTGCATTCCAAGTGCCAGAGCAAAAGTGTCACTTAAAAGCATTGTTACGTGGCTAGGGACCCATGGTTTAGATGTAGCGTATTTAGTTAGTATAGCTGAGGCCCTGAGTCCAATTCCCAGCTCAGGGGCATGGGAGGATGCAGCGCTATTTCATTAAAAGAACAGAGGGGTGGAGGGGTTGAAGGAGGAGGGCAGGCCAATGAGGAAAAAAATAAGAACCAAGATATATTATGTAAAGATACAAATTTCCAATGATGAATGTCATTATATTGTATACCTAAAATGTACCAATAAAATTAATAAAAAATATCCCCCCCCAAAAAAATAACAATACACATTTATCTATGAATGGGCAGTGATAGTATTGTGTTTCAGCCCTTCAGCACTGGGATTAACAATTTTCTATATTAAATTCTGCCTTTTGAATTGGGTTCTACCTTTCTAATTTTGAATGAGAGTACTCAATACCATATGCATTATTTTAACAGTTTAAAATTTATGCAAACCAAGCTGTAAATATGTGCAGCCATTTGTAAAAAGTGCTAAGTCCACCCCCTTAGCTTAATAAAGAGTCAATGTAACATAATGGTTATGTACGTGAGTTCCAGAGCTAGGCTGTTTTCAAGTCCTTGCTCTGCCCGTAATAGCTTAAAGACCACTGTGGACTGAACTGTGCCCCCTCCAAATTCATATGCTGAACTCCCAATCCCCACTATGATGATATTTAGAAATGGAGGCCTCTGAGGAGAAACTAGGATTAGAACAGATTGCGAGGGTGAAGACATCATGATGGAATTAGTGCCCTTGAAGAAACAGACTTTCCCCGTTATCTGAGAACACAGCAAGAAAGTGGCTTTGGCCAACGAGAGAGCCCTCATCAGAACCTGACCATGATGGTGCTGAGATTTCAGGCTCTCTGTCTCTAGGCCTCTGAGAAACACAATTCTGTTGTTTAAGTCAGCCTGAGCAGACTAAGACAGAGACCTTGACAAATTACTTCACCACTTGTACCTCAGTTTATTCATCTGTGCTTCCCTTCTAAGAGTGTTGTGACATAGTAACGAAGCCCTTAAAACAGTGCCTGAGATGTAGTAATGTCTCTAGAAACACTGACTAATCATACAATCAGTAAAAATAAGACTTGCTTTATCAATGGGAAGAGTATAGGTCATCTATACATGTTCTCAAGACTAGCTTTTATCATGATCTGCCACATATATTGATGCAATGGTTAGCCACGGTTATGGAGCAGGTCTACAAGTGATAGGTAGCTTACATGGAATGGAATGCCCAATGCCAGTATCATTAGAATCCCATTTAACAAAAAGACTTAAATGAGCAGAGATAAATCCTCATTTTGTAGATATTGCTAAGTGGCTTCTTCCATATATTTCATTTAAATCAAGTTTATTTTATCATATTTACAGTATTCAGCTTAATTTATATTGAATGGCAATACTTCTGCTAACTACCAAGTATTTTAGGGTCTGACAACCATGAAATAAAAGTAAAGGAGAGATAAAGTAGAAATTCTAGGCAAAATATCTTTTGGACACAAGAATAATTAAATTTAATGTATGTGGAGTTCAAAACTTCTTAGAGAGAAAAATATGTCTATCGTGAACAAGCACAGATCCACACAAGCAGTCTCCCAGGACAATGTCATAAATGAATATGTCCTAGTGTTTGGTGGATGGTGGCTAAAACCTTATTTTTTCATGTATTCATAAATGGTTAAGGAACTTAAAATATTAACAAAACATCTCAAAGAACTTTATAAGTAACTAAATTACAGGTACCATGTGCACTGTACTTTTCTGAGGAAGTACCTGCATACAGATGCATATTAAGTTTGCAACGTTTTTGTTCAGCGTTCCATATTGTATTTTTGGGACACACCAATGAATTGTTCACATAGACATCCAGTCGCTGAAGTGTGGAATAAAAAATTCCTACTAGAACAGCCTGTTAAAATAAAAAAAAACATTTTTGTGTTTTAAGAGACTGATAAAACAGAATGTTTAGAATTTAGCATTTTAAAAAGTCCTTCAACTGTGTTCATCTTCAACTGTGTACATCTGTAAAAATATTAAAACTAAGTTTCATGAATTTAGGACAAACACTGAACTAAAATTTAAAATGGGCTTACATCCAGCCATTCATTCAGACATTATAACTTCACCCTTAATTGATGGTGCCCTAAAGAAGAGTGTAATATAAGAAATAAATTATTAAAGAGGTACCTCTAAATTAAGAAAAGGGTTCTTTTAAAAGACATTGACATACAATATAGGCTTTCAATTCCAGACAAATGGTAGGGACTTAGCAGTGCTCTGTATCATGTAGCCACAGAAAAATAGGTACTTAGGCTAAAACGAAAAACGAAAAACTTAAAAGCTGAGAAAAACTTGGTAATAAGACTAACAAAAATTAGTCAAAATAACTGTACTCTGTGATTTAATTTTGTTCATTTTTTATGTTTATATTCCCGACACATCAGGCTACCAGACATGACCATAAAGTAAGCAGACTTTTTTGCGAGGGTATAGAAGGATTAACAAGTAGCCTAATGAACTATATCAGTCTGAATCTTATTTTGATATTGTCTTCCAAGGCTCAGAATACTAATAGCCATATTACTTTGTAGTCACCACATGTAATTTTTAAATTAAAATAGTCTTCAATTTTCTAAAAATCAAACTCAAGCTCCTATCTCACCTGGTACTATTGTAAATGCTGGCAAAAGCCACTGTGGTTTTTTGGCTTACATCCTAGAGTGAAGTGAGAGACAATAAGTAATAAACAGTAAAGTCTGAAGCATGTTAGAATGTGATAAGTGCTATGCAAAAAAGCAAATCAGAATATAAGGCACTGGAAGAGCCAAATGGTGAGGATGACCAGGGTCGGCCTATTGAGGAGATGGGGTATTTAGCTGCCTAGGTTAGAATGTTCCAGGCAGGTGCAACACCTGAAACAAGGTAGTGACATGTCTGGTGTACTGAGGAACAACAAGAAGCCCAGTAAGGCTGGAGAAATAGAAGAAGCAGAGAATCTCAGGTCTGAGTCACCTCCCCAGCCCTTTATTATTTTTACTTTTTTAGTTAGAGACAGGCTTTAAGTTGCTAAATTTCCCAGAGTGGGTTCAAACTTGTGATCCTTCTGCCCCAGCCTGTCCAGAGTGCTGGAATTATAGGCCTGCACCACCAACTCTGACCTTAGTACAAATACCAGTAGGGAAAACCTGCAGGCCTTGGGGCAGAGGAGAGACCTGCTCTGGCGATTGACCAGAGGAGAGAATTAACGTGTTGCAGGTATCTGGCTATTGGGGTGAAAAAAACTGTAGAAAGGCCAAAATAGAAGAAGGAGGTGGTGGGGGGCAACTGCCTTGATTTGAGGAAGAGACAGTGTGTATTCCATGGGATGGGAGCAGTGGAACAGGTGAGAAGTGATCAGATTCCAGATATTTTGAAGGGAAGCTCAATAGAATTCACAGACGGATTGGATGCAGAATCCAAGAGAAAGAGAGCGGTCAAGACTTTATTTTGCACAACTTGAATTGCCTCCTCCTGGATTAACTTTTCAAGTTTCTGTCTTCATATTCCTAACACTCTGGGACTTTGAAGTCCCATACATATAGAAAAGAAAACCTCAATTACAGGATTTGGCATAGTATATAAATTTAATGATCCCAAGTAAACTCAGTTTATAGCAAAGACTTGATGTTGTCAAAAATATTTAAAATAATATGCTGCAATCTCTGAACTAAATTCCAAAGGTGTATTTCTGACATATATACATTAGAGCTCCATGGAAGAATAAATACATATTCTTAATCCCATAAACCGTAGGCATCATTGTCATGCCTCATATATGGAGCCTCAAAATGAAGTGCATTTTGGGAGGAAGGATGTTTGGTACCTGTATGTACCTTTCAGTTGAGGAAACTGTCTAGGCCAGGAGTATTTTTATTAATATTTTACTGAGTCCTTCAAAAATGAGTAGGGCTGAAAATGTTAGAATGGAGAACAAGATACAATCCTTAGTAGATAGAAACATATGCAAATAAACCAACTACAGTAACTCTTAAGACATTTTATCTTGCCTTACCCTATTGTGGTCAACATTAAGCAACATCAGCCGAAGATTCTGAGGACTGGTACCAGTGAAGTAAACCTCATAAGACTTGTTCAGAGCCACAATGCTGTAAAACAGGGACAGCCTTCTCTGGCACGTGTATCCTGCACACCAGCCATGGTCCTGTGGGCCTAAATCCATGCAAAATGAAAGATCGTGTTCTGTTGAGCATTTATTAGCACAAAATATGAAGAGTAACTATATTCAAAATAAATTGCGGTGGTTGAGTTCAAATGCAAATTCAGCATTTATACCCATTAACTATCCTACCATCTGTCTACCCATCTAGGCTTTTTCTCACCCCTTGGCTGAAGAAGGAGGGCAGGGAAGCAACTTGATCCTATTGCCATGACTTTTACATTGCCCATGGCTAGAAGGGTAAATAAATGTATCCTGGAAGGTCATTGAAGGAAATAGCAGACCTACATGTATTTCTAATTTAATAATCAAATTCAAGCCTTATATAATGAGGGAAAAAATGGTTTATCTTTCTCCTCTCTTGTCAAATGTGAGTTTGGGTAGAGGTCCATCTTTCTTGGGCTCTTTACTAGGAAACGTGTTTCAACATAGTTAAGTTTTTAAAAGTGGGGCCAGTAACTGGAAAGCATGGACATTTATTTGGCTAGATTGTTGATTCACTGATTTGTGGTTTCACTCACTCATTTGTTCATTGATTTGTAAATCCAAGCAACATGTTTGCTTTGATCAAGTCTTTAAGGATACTTGATTTGAATTTTAATTATATAATTTTTTTAAAAATTTTGACTAAGGTACTATTGGAAGGCCAACAAAATTAATGAACTGAAGCTAGGTGAAAAATAAAATTTCATTAAACTCCTTAAAAAGCTAAGAGATGGTGGATGCTCATTTACTGGAGTCCAGGTATTTTCAGAACAGATGTAACATGACTTTCATAGCAAACTTCTTTATTTTACTTAAGTGTCAGTGCAGTGAAATACAGAATGATGAACTTTTTTGATGTCATTTATGCATTATGTTTACTGCATCTCATGGCTTATTTGGAAGCATTATCAATATTGATAACTAAGTTTCAATCAAATTTTAAACCAATGGAAACTTCTAAAGCTCAAGTAGAATATAACCTTTTCTTTAGCATGCAAAATATAAATCCTATTTATAATATACCTTCTTCGTGGGTTTCAAAAATAAACATAAAGAAATGTCTGTAAAAACTGAAAAGTTTAGAGTGAAAAAAGCATATTAAAAATAAAGAATATTTGTGTATACAATGAGATGAGAGTGACACAAAGTTATATTGTAAAAATAAATAAAGTCAAGTATTACAATTTTAAAGGAAACTTGGTGATACTCGGTAACTTTTATCTCGGGGAGTTTTTCCTCCCCATCTTGAGCATACAGAGCATAGAGAGTATCATTAGTGTCTCCTAGAACAGTTTTGTGATTTTTCCACGTGACTGTAATTTACTTATTGACTTCTTTAGTCACTGTTGAAAATGTATATTCATTGTAAAGAGAAATGTCATGTCACTATTGTAAGTTAAAAAATTATGTTGCCTTTCCGTAAAAAGTAAAACTAAGTACAATGAAATCTTTCTCCGCCATATAGAAGGGAGCAATTTGGAAATTTCTTTTCCATTCCTCCATTATTCACAGACCCCTTTGTAATCTCTGCTTTGTAAAATGTGAAAGGCAACATTCAAAATTTGAGCTGACTGCACGCATTCAAAGGATTGAATACTCAGGTGACAGAAGTGAGGACAGGCTTAAAATCATGAAACTTTGGTATATCCCTGATTTAGTTAATCCTATTCTCTTTAACAAGTTTTTAAATGTGTATTTCTGTAGGGTATTAGCTATTTTGTTGTATCCTAGAATAGTTTGATATGTCATTTTACTGTCAGGGCCAGAAATCTGCCTGGTCTAGGCTATGTGCCCTTCAATGCTAAGCCTGCTGAAGGACTCATCTTTGAGCCCCAGTGTCATTTCAGGGATACACAATAAATCCCTGTGCTATGTTCTCAGTACCTTTTAGAGGCTTATTTTACTCATTCAAAAAGTCCTGGTCTCCTACGTCGATCTGCATCCTTGCGCAGACCGCTGTCTTTCCTCTGTACTAGGGCTATCTCAGACCATAACCAAAGAAACTTAGACTCCGGACCTTCACAAACTGGTCTTGAAAGTCAAAGGAATCAGATAGGAGAGAGAGGAAAGAGGTTATAAGTCTTCCAAAGATTCATGAAAATGAAAAATGATTAGGCCAAGAAGACCCCTTCTCAAGTATTCCAAATAATACGATATTCATTTTTAAATTTATGTAAGGAAAATTATACTTCTGGAGACATTTAAGCCCAATTTCCTTGAATTTTCTCCACCTCCTCCTTCAAATCGTCAATTTGAAATAACTGTCCTGGCTTTCCTGGATGGGGAACTGCCACAGAGTCATGTCTCCACCCTGCACATAGAATTTTTCTTACAAATGGAATGCCGAAAAGTCCTGGTATTCACTAGTTTTATGTGATAATGAGATGCCTCCATGTATTTAATACAATGCTTTAAGTAACTCTGGTCCACTTATACCAAACACCTACCGTTAATGAGATCAACATAACCATTGCTCACTATTGCCACTGGTGAAAGTCTTCGTGTTTCTGTGTCAGAATCCAGGCTTTCAATAACCATCATTGCATATTCCATCCCAAAGCACTGATAGCTCTGCCACTCGGGAATGTATTTACAGGTTGCATCTCTAATAATTCCTAGAAATATACGTATATACATTTTAGCAATGAAAAGAAATCTCTTCACAAAATATGCATACACTATCTTTTTCTTATGTAAGATTAATAAGTAGAACATCTAAGTTATTAGCTGAGTACATTAATCATTCCAAATAAAACACATTTTGTTTCATGAACTTGAGATCTAAAAACAGAATAAGATTCAACAAACCTTTATAAGGTGCTTTCTCAGTGACAGGAATTCTACTTCCATTCAAGAATGTGAGCATCGCCTTAGGAATTCTGTAGTCTCCGATCCCTAGTTGGCTGTTTCCATTCCATTCATACTCTGCTTGAGGTATCACTGAACCAGAATTCCCCAGAAAGGAGCCATCCGTGTCTTTAAGAAACGATTTTCTTTTGGCATCACAAACCATGTCTACACAATCAGATGGATTCACTTTACTGGGGAGAAAAGGCAAAATGAATAGCTTATCTCACTGTTCCAAAACAGCAGTCTGAATATAGTTCTTAAGTATTTGAGCAGGTATCAAAAAATGGATCAAATCTTATTTCAGATAAGATTTAAAGTGGGACTGAGTAGCATATGCAAATACCACTGTAATGAAGTCTGCTTTTCCATTGGGATGATTTGGTCTGTTATCATGAATTTATTAACATTTCAAAATGACAAGTTGTACCTGTGGGATACAAAATTGCTTTTTGCTATCCTGGAATGATAGATTCATGTTTGTGCGTTATTCATGATATACTAACATTTCCTTACACAGTTGGTGAAGAGTTCTCTATTGTTCAGGATATACAAAATCCCTATGTTGGCCAGAAAGTCTTCATTATTTTCCTTCCCTTCTCATTTTTAAAGTTTATAAGTATTGTTTACCATAAAATAATATAAATATTTAATAAAAGCTCAGTTTCTTTCATCTTTCTATCTTTAGCTCTTGGGTTCTTTATCAATTGCAGACTGTTATGCATTCTTTGTTTTTTGTCTTTTCTTTTGGTACCAGGGATTGAACTCGGGACCTTGCACTTGCGAGGCAGGCGGTGGAACCACTGAGCTAAATCCCTGGCCCCGTTATGTATTCTTGTAGACTTTTATCTATGTAAAGACATAGATTCTTATGCCACACATTAGTAAACATTCTGCAGATAATTATAAAGAAATGAAACATCATAAATTTGTTATTCAGTTCAACTATAAATGGCATTTTGGCTCCATCTTGATTTACCTGCAGTGTCAACTGATTGATCCCTGATATAATAATGAAATACCTGCTAATTATGCAATGTATTACATATTCAAATGACATACAGCATACTTATAAAATACTATGACACATAGTATGAGGAAATATATTTTATTCCAGAGTCATAGCCACAGCTATAATAGTGAAACACACAGATTTATTAGGTACTATCTACTATGTCTTTCCATTTTTGTTTTAAGAAAAACATACAGCTATAAGTTATGCCTGACCATAATCTCCTAGTTTGGGGGAAGAATTTTGACAAATATTTCTGTACATTGAGGATGTAGCTCAGTGGTAGAGTACAAGGCCCTGGGTTCAATCCCCACCAGCAATATATACATACACACACACACACACACACACACACACATATATACATAAATAAACTATGTGATTCATGTGTCCTTTGTATTTGAGTATGTACAATGCACTTTTGTAAACAAGTTTGTGAGAAGAGTGCTCAGTGGCATTCCCTCGTGGTGGCAGTAATGTAAGAGGCACTGTTAGTTCAACTTCCCAAGAAGCACAGCCTGAGAAGTAGATTTTTGTGTGAGTCGTGGAAGGAATCTTCTCAAAAAGGCGAGAGAGAAGCCACACAGAGCAAAGGAAAGAAAACAAGACTACAGTCTTTAGACCAGCTTCGTTTTGATCCCATGGAAACCTCTGCAACATGAATTCATTACGTCTGTTGCTACTTCAAAGCAAAGAGGCCCACCTTGTACACCTGAATGTGACAGTCATTCTCTCTGGAACGCAAGGGTAGTAGCTGTGAGAGGGCTTTGGGTAAAAGAAAAATGCTGAGAAACGGGCAACTGCAACTGCACACTATTGTGGGCCAACATTTAGAGCATTCGGTGTCTGCCTAGTGGAGATCTGGGACAGCACCAACAGCGTCTACTAGAAGAACAGAACTCAAAGAAAGTATACTTGAAGAGGAAGTGTTTTTTTCAAATTACAATTGTACATTAAATCTGAAAGACTTGATGATAAGAAACAGGAGATTATAACTGTCTAGTGAGGAGGGCCTCTATTGAACCACAGAACCTTAAAATTCACCAATAATTAAATGAGTAAGTTGGGCTGTCAGCAAAATAAAACAGATGAAGCTGAACTATTATGAAACATTACATTTCTCTGGAGAGTTGCCTGCTTAATTACACAACGTTATTCCTTCTCTTTGCTTCTAAACTGAAAATGGTCAAAGATCTCTGATAGAACTTTGTTTCCCCCAATATTGTCTTGCATCTAAATTCTTGTTCAAACTGCCTACAAAAAATAGCAGTTATTGGCTACATTCTTTTATGACTTAGAATGTAAGACATCTAGACAACTGACTTTTTGTGATTACAAAAATTATTGTTCTAAGTTCCTGTATATTTATAATCACGGGGATTAGAAGGGCTGATATTTAATTTCTAACCATATTTTGGAGTGCTAGTGATAAAATATTTAGAAAGCAAAAGGTAATAAAAAATAAGAAACAGAAGAAATGATAACGATTTCTCTTGTTAAATGACTTTATATGGAGATGTACTGAAGTGGAACATATTTCAAATCCTTATATTTTTTATATTTAATGATGTTGTTATTTGTTTTTTGTTTTTTTTGGTACCAGGGATCGAATGCGGGTCCTTGCGCTTGCTAGGCAAGCGACGGAACCACTGAGCTAAATCCCCGGCCCAAATGATGTTGTTATTGATGGTAAATGAGAAACATCAGTGAAAATACACACATTAAAGCCCAGGTTTTACAAATCAACTGAGAAAACAGACATATGTTATTTAGTCTTAATTTTTATAATGCTTATTAAAATTTTATAGAAAGTTGTTATTTTAATATAGCAACATTTTTAAACCTATAACACAGAGAAGGGAGAAGGGAGAACTATAAAGATGGCAAAGAAAAAACTGGGTTTTTATATATTTTACCTTATGTCAGGCCTATGTATATATATTTTAGATGGTTCTGTAGTGTCGACCAGTTGTACATTCTTCACATAGATTGGGTGCTGTAAGTCTTCATTTAAAGGGTTAGTCATGAATATTACATTGGTTTCTCCTGAACAAACATTCTTAAATCCAACAAATGTTGAACCTAAAGCATTAAAGGAAAGTAATTATTTTCTCTGGAGAAAGAATTTCGCAAGATACATTCCATGGGCTTAAATTTCTTCAGTTGTAAAAGGGGAGAGTAATATATAATCCTACTTATGTGAAAAGAGTAAAAGTATAAAATAAAGTATAAAATTAATATTAAATCACTATATCAGTGTTTTTTCCTGCTGTTCTGAAAGAAAAATTAAATGTCATTTTTAAATAAATAAAACTTTTCCTAGGAAACCAGTCTAGAAATGGACTTGATAATCTTTCTTTTCTTGTCATAATGAGCACATTCATATATAAATTCATTTAAGTATTTTTTTTTACTAACAATGAAACATTAATTATATCATACTTTACATTGTCTTTGGAGGACTTAATTGAGTAGATTTGTGAAAGACAGTGTTTAAACTTGCCTGAGACATCCAGACCGCCACTGATAGCACTGTAACTCATGATCCCCGCATGGGGCTTCCGGGGCGCCATATTGTGAGCTGAAGCAAAGGTAGGCCAGCAAATCCCACTCCTTCCACCTTTTACCAAAATAGAAGGAGAAAGAAGCGGAAGAGGAGTAGGGAGGAGAAAGAGGAGGAAGAGGAGGAGAAAGTTAACAGAAATTGAATATGCACCTATGTGAACACCAACGACAAAATTGCAAATTTTCACCTGCTGGAGGTCTGGCACTGCGATGTGCATCAGTGAGCTCAATATTGGGATCATCATTGCTTAGGACATCAGAGCAATTAAATTCAGGGCTACTTCCAACAATTAATGTGCTCTGTTTAAAAAATGTCAAGCAATACAGTGTTAACAATAACGCTTCCTAAAAAACATAATAATGAATGAATAACACTGAATTCTATGGTAGCAAAGCACAAGCTAAACATCTGGGAAGTGGGTCATTCATTAATCAAAGAAGAAAATGTATGATTGCTGACCTTATTGGAATGACAGTCAGAGTGAGAGGGAAGAAGAGAGATGTGTAAATGTTTCTTAAAAATGACATGTTAGGTTCCTGTGATAGAAATGTGTCTAGGAAACAGTAAGAACAAAAAGTGGAGGGAATGTCCTTATTCCCTATGCTGTTTCAAGAAACCCTTCAAAGAAGGAGTGAACATTTAACAAACTATTTCAAGTACAGTAGGTGATAAGTAAAGAGATGAAGAAAATGGAGGAGAGATGAGGATGAAGAGTTTCCTGGTATAGAGTATGGATGCAAAGGCACAGAGGTGTGATCCAGATAGAGATAGAAGACAAAGATTATTTTTATTTGTCTTTCAACAATTTTTCCCTTCTCAGATTTGCTCTTTGCCCTTATTCACTTCTTACCTCCACCTTCACTGTTTTACTGGAAATTTTGTGAGATACAGCAGCTGGCATGTAAATCATTGAAAAAATGGCCATTCCATTGTCCACTAAGGTCACATTATAGATGTGCACATGCTCTGTGGTCTGTAACAAAAATAATAGGTGGAATAGCACTAAGGGAAATCATGAAAGAAAATAATCACCACCTTTAATCCCATTCACCTGAAAATAAATTCCATAATCCCAGCACGTCCAAATGGTAAATCCCTGTATAAGGGAACATCCAGGAAGGCCATCTTGGTTCATATAGATGCCGTACAAACCCCCGTGGGCTTCATTGTCAAGCCAGTCTTCCACAGGATTAGAATGACCTTAGAAGAGAATATACAACCAGAGAATTAACATTACAAATCAAGCCAGATACTTCTAATAAGAACATCAGTTAAAGTCAGCATATATAATAAAGGAGCCTAAATGTGAAATCCATGGCACCACTTGCTGCCTGTACAAAGCTTCCTTGTCCTTTTACTTGCTGGCTCTTCTCATTGCACTATTTTCAGTCTCAGTTCCTCCAAAGGCTGCCCCATTCCATCTCATTCAAAATAGCACTTCATCACACTGCATTTAAATTGCAATTAAAATTTATATTGCAATTAAAATTTTTTACTTGCTATTTTAATATTTGTGAGTTACTCTTTCCTCTTTTTTTACTAGAATGTAAGCTTTGTGAAAGAAGATAATGGTTTCTGGCTCATTCATCACCATATTCCTGCACCCCAAAATGTAAGACTGAGATAAATGCTTCTTCAATATTTTTTAAATTGGTGTATACATGATTGTGGGAAAGTTAGTTAACCTTTTAGAACCTGTTTCCTGTGTATAAAATGTTTTAATGCCTAATTCATAGCAGTTTCAAAGTGAAATGAATAAACTACATAAGGTGCCTTGCAAATATCTTCAGTAAATGGGAATTGGACTCGTTACTAATATGTCTCATAATTACAGTAGATTTTAATGAAAGTTTCACTTATATCCAAATTGGATCAGTAACTGTAATAACCCCTCCCAAAGCATGCATAAGTTGAAGGATTGTCTGTACAGGGCAGTACCTCATCCTAAAATTGTACTTAAAACCAGCTGGCTTGCTTAGAACCCTGGTATCTGATTTCCTCCTGTCTTCTGGTGATTTTCCCTTCTTCGGAGCCCTTTGGATTTTGTATGTTACTTATGATCTGTCTGGGTTTGATTTTATTCCACTGTAAGAAGATGGCTATATTTCTGTCCCTGAACCTACTCAAGGGCCATGACAGCTATGCCACTGTCCCTGTCTTAGCATCCGAGGCTCTTATCTGGATAAATAGGTGAGCATTAAGGAACTTCAGCCTCCATTTCTCTGTGATGTTTCATGTTTCTGTTGCTACAAATCCAAAACCTCTTTTTAAACACTCTCAATTATGTTGTAATATCAGTGTAGTCAGTGAAAATGTAATAAATGTTACAGCTATTAATAAGTATTCACATTCAAAGATTATATTTTGATTTTCAAAAAAACCATAACAATTTCAGAGAAACTACAGGTTTCAAATTTTTGTGTCAAAGAAAATCCACTTCAAGTTTTTTGGAATTAAAGTAATGACAACATGGTTCAAGGATCAGTTAAATCTGTGGACAAAGTTGTTTTACTCTTCAAATGTATTTTGCACAAGTGTAAAATTAGCTTAAATTCAATATATTTTGAACTGAGAGAAAAAGACTTATTCAAATAATCTTAAAAACATCTTAAACTATTTATTAACCAGCATCCCAGTGAAAACAAAATGTATGGCATGTAAATTATAACTAATGAAACCATTAAAAATAACACTACACTGAAATATTTTTAAATCAACTTCAAAAGGAACATAAATTTTTCTGAGACAGTCCCATTTCACTGAAATTCCTTTGCTTTTCTCAAGGTGTAAAATTAAAAGTTTTGTCACTGAAATTCCTTTGAATTTCTCAAGGAGCAAAATTGAAGTTTTGTATTTTATTAACTTTTTTACAAACTGATAATAATATACTTTCATAATTAAAAATTTTAAATGCTATAAAATGGGACACCCTACCAAGGTTGCGAGTCACATGGAACATGCCGAATCAGCCTGGGCCCTGGCAGCAATCCACTGGACCCCCCCACCCCCCACCCTGCTCCTCTGTACAGCCACCTGGTTCCACACTACAAAGACGCAGAGGACACTGGACCA